GCTTCAGTATTTGGGGTTTTGCTTATATGGACAGCTTCCTCCTCTGCCACCCAAGCTCTCACTACCTTACTTCAGTTAGCAGCACTGTCTGTGCTTTCCTTTAACCAGTAGGAGTCTGAATAAACTACGATAAACATACTCCTTCTCCTGTAAATGAAATAAAATTTCTGGGATAGCTAATCAAGGAAAACTTTTGCACACTCACTTCTTTAGAAATAGGATCTAGAAAACTGCAATTTCCATTTTAGTTTAACCCTTCCCATAACTATTCTGGCATTCAAGCCAGCCTTTCAGCTTTACTTGAATTTCTGCTGCTTTCATTCCTCACTAATAATGAGGGAAGAAATTATGCCCGTGTTGTGTAAAGTGAACACCTCTAGGTAGGCACTTTACCCTGATCCTAACATGAATGCCCAGGCAAAGTCTCCATTTCCCAGCTGAGAATGCTATCTGTTTAAGTAATAGTTTCAGTTTGTACAATTAAAGTTTAGAACAAGGTCATTCTGGGTTACCCAGGTCTTAAATAGAGCCTTCCTACCAAAAGCCTGACTCCATCAGACTCTGAAAGGATTTCCTGCAATTCCAGAGACTGTTTTACCATGACCATTCCTATCAAGGTTGATTTGTACCAGAAATCTTACCCAAAGTCATGTCAAAGCACTTTGTTTAGGTCTCACTCCCCAGTGAACAACATAGTCTTCGCCAATGTGCCTTCACCCTTGCTCAAGCAATCATTTTCTGTACTTCCTGCCACAAACAAAACCTTTATCTGTGGCCAGTGACTGAGGTGGAATACTGCTGGATTTATGAAGGAATAACAGAGAGATAGATCCATGGTGAGGTTTGAACATTAAAGCCATTGTGGTTTCATGTATCAGCAGTGGAAGACAGGACAAGCTCCTATTTCTGGATCCAGTACAAGCTTGCTCTGGTATCTTTAGCACCATGGACTGCCACACATGTCCCTGCTAACTACTTAGACTCTAAGGGAAGAATGGAGATTCTTACCTCTACAGGAGATTGTTATGGATTACTGTTAACCCAGTGGGACTCTGATCTTAGTTGGAGAAGCTAAAAATTGTTACAGTACAAGTAAATACAGACATTTTCATCATACTCTGTGTGCAGGTATGTTCTGAAGAGATGCATCATAGCAGCTGCAGCATTCCCATACCGGGTTTCTCTGTTTGCCATGCTACTGATTCACCAGTCGATTTTTTCCAGGAAACTCCACTTCTTTCCCCCCCACCCCCAGCCTTCCCATTGAAAAATGAGCCAAACATCTGAGTAACAGTTAAACTTTTGAACCTGTTATGTAGGAGTAGCCTTGAACTTGGGCAAAATATCTGTGCCCAGACTGATGTTCTCAGCCTAGGTTTAGTCTCCTACTTTATTTATAGGTCACATCTAACTGAAAACAAAACAGCTTTTAGTCCTTGTTACATTCTTATTCAAGCCAGCAGGGAGCTATGAGTTGAAGAAAAAGTACAGTGAATCACTGCCTTCTTTTCCCCAAATTCTCTCTTAACAAGGAATTTCAGAGCATTTGCCTTTATGATACATATCCATGGTCCTGTACAAGTGTTACCTTTGCATACCTTTGCATAGAATATATGAAGAAGTAATCTGTTTTTTACTACTCAGTAACAAACTCAGTCAAGGTTTATTCAAAGAGAGACTCCTTAAAGCAAGCTAAGGTATCAGCAAACGCACAGCAAAAAAGCAGCTATAAGGGGGGTAGACTGGTACACCACAGCATAACAAAATGGTACTATTTCCTGATGACAATTTGATTCCAGAATATAAATACTTAAAAATAATTAGCGTTTAACCTTTAAGAAAACAAGTTGCTTTTTTGCTAGATACAAACTTCAAGAAACTCAAGCCAGCAGATGTTATAATGGGTATACAAATGGTTCCTGTTTGCCTAACAGGAACATTTTTTAATCCTAAAAAATGATACCTCACACTGCTACCATTTAAAATGTCTTTTCAGTGACTCCAGCATGTAAAACCAGATTAACATTGAAGAACATGTTGCAGGGAGCTATATCTATCTTACCATCAGCTTTTTTTTTTTTGCCAAGAAGTTAAAGTAGGGGAGCAAATGTTGCTAATGGTGTGAATCCAGCTGGAAGACTCTCCACTGAGCAGAAACTACTAGTGTAATCTGTGATTCGTGTTGTGAATGAGGAATTGAGGGAGAAAGTCAAAGAAAAGACAGCATATTCAAGAAAAGCAAGATGCTGAATGTGAAACCTTGACCCTTTTTAAGGTGACAGGAAAACTTCCAGGATTTCCTATTCTAACCACAAGAAGAATGATTATGATAATATACCCTTGCCAAGGGAAAAGTTTAATGCAGTAAGGACCACAGCAAATGGATGTAGCATCCAAACAGGCATTATACAAGAAATATCTCAGGGAAGAGAAAATAATCTAAATTCTTATTGCCCTTCCATTTAATGCAGAGATTGGAGAGACAGTTGCAGAGAGGCTGTGTCACAGACACAGTAAAACAGATTTAAGAATACAATCTCTCCTATCTCGAGATCTTTTCCTAAAATGTACTGCTTGTTGCCTCAGCAAATAGTAGGATGAGGTGTTAGTGCATAGGAATTACAAAAAGTAGATATTAACAGAACACTTCAGATCAGTTCATCCAGCCTGGGAAAGGCTTTTCTCTCTTCTCAGATAGCATGTTGTGTTTATGGACAGGCAACATGAACTGTGAGCCAACCTAGTTCCACACTGCTGTGGCACGATGGCTTCATTTTCATGACAGGATTCCATAGAGTCGTTATGGCTGTAAGGTAACACAAAACTAGTGTATGTCTCGGTCACACACCTGCCCTCACCACCAGAGCCATATTCTACATTTTGCAGCTGCACACAAGGTGATTTGACAGAGCAAGATTAAAGTACTTTAAGTTGCTAGTGCTTCCGATGATGAAACACGTATTGCTCTTATAAACTAGGGTTGAATCTGCTGCTAGAATAAAGGAATCCAGGTCATCCATGCCAGCTTAAAGCATATCCTTTCTTTCTCTACCCACAGCCTCTTATGTTCCTTACAAGGAAAATAATACACAAGCCATAGGAGATCATAAAACACTTCACTTGTTAAGATAACTGCCAGTGAGTGACCTAACGGTGAACAATTCAGGATGATTTTGATTAACAGAATGTAATAGAAATAGAATTGTTTCATATAACCTTTCAGTCTTCAGCGCTGTAGTTAGGTCCTCTATTAATAGAGCTGTCAGAAACATGTACTCGTGCTTGAACTGACATCAGGTACAGAAAGTTGAGTGAGTTAATTTAGTGCTGGCTTAACTGACATTGGGAACAAAGCCTGCCTTTTATTCCTGAAAGAGAAATACCATCCACAATAGTGTCGCTTCCCATCAACATGCCTCGATTCCAATCTGGGTGACTGTCTCTTAGCATAGTAAATTTACAAAATGCACTTGAACATGATAGACTTCTATGTTAAAATGGATAGATTGTTTTTTAAGATCGAATGAACCTGTCTGAAGCAATGCAAAATACAAATACAAAATACATTTGGGAATTAGAGTCAGCGTACAAAGAAGAAAGTCTACAGAGATTTTCTTTGGCTAAGAACACCCTTTATGAGATGGATTTCAGTAACAGTATTGTACACCGTGGTATGTCTTGTATCATCCTAGTTTAATCATTGAAGAAGACAGATTTAATCAGAACTGCAAGCATATCTGAGAATAGTATTCTGATTAATTGTACTAGCCCAGTAATGAAACTCTCAGACTATATTAGGCCTTACAAATTGCAGCATGGGAAAAGACTTTAGCATTGCCAACTAAAACCATCTCTCTTCTTCATCATCTCTTTCCTTCATTGCAAGCTGAGTTTGTTGTTCACAAACAAAATAAACCCTTTGTAGTAGAAAAAAATAAAGGGGGTTGTTTCTGTAGAAAATTTGAGTATTTTGGCAAACAAATACAGGATAAATCCCTTTGTAGTCATTTCTTTCTGCAATAGGGCAGGGTGTTTTCTGCTTTATGTCACTGGCAATAATGGTTCATCCAATTAGCCAGAAACTGTTTTTGCATGAGAATTAAAATGTAAAATCAAAGAATCCAACAGAATACTCAAAGCCAATGGCAGAGGAGCAGAGTTGGCCCATTCCTTTCATTTTAGTCTCACACACCTATTTATCACAGTATATTTTTCACAGTCAACACATGAATATACAATTGGCATTTTTGTCAGTCCTTTCCTGACCATTTACTTAGTTCTTTGGGATAAACTTTTTACCTCTGTCAGCTGTGTCTGTCGTGACTTGCAGTCACCTTCCAAAAGCTCCTATTCTGAAGGATTTTGGTGGAGATGCAAAATCAAGCCTATGTCCTTCCGGGATAAACTACTGCTGGAGAGCCCCCTTACCTCACAAGCACAAGAAGGGCTTTGACTTGAGCATTTAGACCTCCTTCTCGTTCCTGGGCACATCTTCACCACAGTGGCATGCTCCCCCTCACACAAACATCCCCATCACACCCACAATCTCTTACATTTTGCAGCAAACCTGCATTTGCAACTCCTATCCAGCAGCCAACTCTTTTTTAGCCTGTGCTATTTAGCTGCTCTTTCTATCCCCTCAAGAAAACGGTGTGTTTTGTAGGGCTGTGGAAATAGCAGCACTCTAAGGAGAGACAATGCCCAGATAACTTCTGTTACTGGCTGCCCTGTGTGTAATACTGTACAGAGTGGCAGCTGACGGAAGACGCGTCTCGCAGGGAGCAGCAAGCTGTCCCTCAGGAGAAGCCCCTCTGCCCTCAGAGGTGCCAAGCAGAGGCAGGCAGCAGAACCACCGCGCTGTGGAGGAGGGCGCACTATGTCCCTCCTGAGGACATTCCTCCTAATAGACTTCTCTTCCCTCACTGCAGGCTTTAAAAAGGGGGAAGTGCAGAGGGGACCTTCCCAGCATGGCGGCCGAAGGAAGGCTCCCCCCCCGCCTTCCCCGCCCTCTCAAGATGGCGGCGCGGAAGGGCCGGCGGCCGGTCCGGAGTGCGCCTGCGCGCCGCGGCCCGGAGTGCAGTGAAATTCCTGGCGGGCGGGGGGAGGAGGAGGTGGTGGTGCTGAGGAGGAGGAGGAGAAGGGAGGCACGGAGCCACGGCCGCGCTCCCCTGCCAGGGACCCTGCGTGCTGTGGCGGCGGCCGGCGCGGAGCCAGACCCCCGGGGGGCGCGGTGCGGGCGGGCTGAGGGCCACTCGCCGCCGCCTCGGGCTCTCGCAGCACCAGGAGCCGCGCCGTCCCCGCCGCCGCTGGGACTCCCTCCCCGGGCAGAGAGGGGGAGAATGACGGAGCTCCAGTCCGCCTTGCTACTGCGGAGACAACTAGCAGGTACCCGGGCTGGCGGGAGCGGGGAGGCGGGGAGAGGTGAGCCGATCCCTTGTCGGGGAGCGGAGGCCGGCCGGGCTCTCAGGAACCGGGGCCTGTTATGGGGGAAGGGGCGCCGGCTCGGGGAGGGTGCGGGCGGGCGGCGGGGTGCGTGTGAGAGAGGGAAGGGGAGATTACAGCCCCCCCGCCGCTCTGCTGCCCAGCCGGGAGCTGAGGGAACTAGGCCGAGGGGGGGAGGGGGAGCCTGCCGGCGATCGCTGCCAGGGCAGCCGGGGGGAGGGGTGCGGAGGGCCGGCATGGCGGGGAAGCGTTTCCTTCGCTGCCCCCGTCCCGGCAGGGAAGTGGGAATTTGGCAACGACGTGGCTCGCCTGCCGCCCCCCCTCCCGCCCCGCGCCGCTGTTGCAGCCCTGTCTGCCCGGCGCGGGCAAGGTAGACGGGAGCCTCGGCTTCGCTCCCCGCGGTGCGGGGGTTGTGTGCGGGGAGCCCTCTGGTGTGAGGGGGTGTTTGTCAGGCACAGAGAAGCGGCGGAGGACGGAGCGAGGGAGCCCCCCTGGAAGAGGTACTTCGGGGTCGGGGCGACTCGCCCCCTCCGCTCACCTTCCTGTGAGGACCTGAGGTGCCCCCGTCCCGCCTCCCCTCTCCCACCCTCACCTCCGGTACCCTGCGCCGTGGAGGGCGGGCCGGGAGGGGGAGGCCGCTTCCCCCTTTGTTGTCAGGAGGAGAGCTGGGGGCTCTGCAGGCCCTGACTGTGGGGAGAGGACCGGGCAGGACCGGGGCGGAGGGGAGGGGTGGTGGAGGGCCCGCCCTGGGGAGGGCGAGAGGGGCTGCTCGCCGCGTGCTGCGGGGGGCAGTCTACAGGGAGGAGCGAGGGGGCTCCGCCGGGGGCGAGAGGGCGGGACGGGTGCAGGGAAGGAGGAGTTGTAGAGACTGGGCCCGGGGACGGGAAGAACCGGGGCGCCGGGCCCGCGGCGGGGAGCAGCCCCGCAGCTCAGCCCCGCACCGCTGCTCCCGTCTCCCGCCCCTTCCCTTTGTCCCCGCGCCGCCGGTCGAGCGCGGGCCCTGCCTGGGCCGCGGAGGGGGCCCGGCCCGGCCCGGCCCGGCGCGCATGCGCGGGGCGCACAATGCGGCTCCATGTGTCGCTCGCTGCCAGATTTAAAGCGAAAGGAGCTGGCAGCGGGTGCTGGAGGGCCCGCCCCGCACGCACATGGCCTCGCGGCCTCCGCCTCCAGCCGGGGTACAGTAACCCCCTCCCCCGAGAACACGCGCGGGTCCGCCCGGCTCCTCGGGAGAATCCCATTGCCTTTTTCGTCCCTTACGTAAAAATTGCCTCATACCCCGATAAGGAAATGCGTGCTGAGCGCACCGGACTGGGGCAGTTACAGCGCCGGCTGGGGTGTGCTGGGTGTCTGTGCAAAGGGACGGGGCTTCGGTGTGGCACAGCAATCCCCGGAGGAGGATTTGGCCTGAGACTGAAGTAACGTCTTTGAAAGCGTGAGGGTGGAAGAGAACACTGTTAGCAGTAAGGGGGTGAAGTTGCATAACCAGGTACAGCGAGCTACAGTAATATGTTTGTTGCACTTTCAGCATTATCTCCAGGTTTTAGTTGATGATTGGTTTGAGACACTTGAACGTAGTTAACTGTTAGCAGGGGATTTATTTTTTTTTTTTTTACCCCTTTAGGGTGGCATTCTTTTAAAAAATAAGAACCTAACACATACAGTGGCTGGGCTCCTGACCATAAGTATGACCCTCAATGCCTTAGTAACTACTGAAGTTGCTACTGACATTCAGTGAGGTGGCTGTACCTTTGGATGTGCTAATAACACTAGGTGTAGGCTTAATATAGGAGCTGGAGTTGATGCAAAGCTTCTCTTTCCTATAAATGATCCCTCTAGGGAAGCAGTAGTTTAGAACAGTTACTCTCTTAACTCGATCAAAATGAGCATTTAGTAACCTAATATAGTTCTTTGGCTGTTTGGAATGTCGCTTTTAACTGATTAATTGTGCTCCATGAAAGCAAGCTTGACATTTAGTTGAAGCCTATTGATAATAAGTATTAGTTGTTGCTTTCTGGTGTGTGTGGTTTTTAACTTGTGAGGTCTTAAGACCTTCTGTAAGCACATGCTCTTTGAGTGTGTAAGTACAGTTTTAGACTGTGAGATTTGGGGGTTAACTTCTAGTTACCTTTCTGATCCTTCTTTTCTGAAGGATTCATGTTGTTGTAAGGGTAAAAACTGGTAAGCTTTTCCAGTTACCCCTATTACTGATTCAACTCTGCTTACTCAAGTACTGCAACCATTTGCATGTATCATGCATCTCTTTTGGGGTGCTGGTGTTGTGTTTTAAGTATTATCAGTGCCTTTGGCAGCCTTTTATATGTGTTTGAAACAAAATTGAAACAATATTAAAAGTGACTGTGCATTACTTGTGTGTGGTGAATACTGAAGTACTTCAAAAGTGCCATCTGGAGTAACTGACTTAAGAAAGAAAATAGTTTCTTTATGATAACCTAAGTAACATCTGGGCTGAGTTGAAACTAGACTGACACTGCTTGTTCTGATGGCAGGTTGCTTAAAGTTGCAATGCAGAGGCTGAGCTTGATGATGTCTGATCCCTCTTCCCTACTGGCTGTATTCTTCCAAGTCAGCTGCTCCCATGTGTCCCTTTGTTTACACCCACGTTACTTGTTCTACCTCAAAACAAAAATCAACACTTATTCTTTCCCCTGGTGAGGCTGATTCTTCAGCCCTTCTGCTACATTCGGCTTTTGTGTTATGTCAAGTGTGGTGAGTCACTGGGTTGAACCTAATAGTTGGGTTTTGGAGGGCAATGAACAGGCAGTGGATACGAGTTATGTGATCTAAACTACCTTAAATTGCTCTAGATCACTCAGTTGTCAAATTAACATTACTCAAGCACAAGGGATCTGCAGTTGGAGCTGTTGGACTTGGAGCAAGACATCCAGAAGTGGAGGGAGGTTGAAGGGGCAATCCAAAACCTATATGAAGGTGGAGCAGTTGAGGAATATTAAAGTTTTTTAATGAGTGAGGACTTGGATAGCTCTTTTCGATCCCAGGAGGAAGAACAGTGACAGGAGGAGAAAGGACTGTACAACGGTAGTTCTCAGCACGAATACCTGTTCTGTCTCCCATATGTTTTGTTTCTTGACAAAGACGTTATGGGGAAAATAAGTGTTTGTGGCACATGGCGCTTTAATGAATTATTTTAAGTCTTGAAGACTTTGTTAAAGTAAAGGTTAACTGGCAGTTCTTCATTGTTGGGGAGACTTAAAACCAGGGGTCTTGCCCAAATGCAGAACAAAACTCTACAACATAATCCCAGGTTGCTTCAATAAGCATATGAAGACAGGCTTCCATTTTTCTCTTGAGCAAGCTGGCTTGTATTGTAACTTGAGCAGGTAAATAGTATCACAGCACCATATATACACACACTTGTCATCTTAAGTGGCATGTTGTGGATGCTGGTAATGTTCTAAGAGAAGGGATATTCAATGACAGTCACAAAATCCAACTTCCAAGTGAGATGTGGGTTGTTGTTCTCCCTCCCAACCCCTCAAATACTAAGCTTCTCAGTGCCTTTTCTAATGAAACAATGAGCTGTATCACCAGGGAATCACTATAGTAGCTGTTCTTGTATTGACTCCTGCTTGCCCCCATTTAGGCACAAGAACAGTTCAAATCATGACAGTCCAAACTTCGGGTAGTTTTTGTTTAAGTGTTTAAAGGAAGTGGTGAATGGGGATCTCTGACTACCAAAGCCAGTTAGAGTACTAGTCTGGCTAGCTGGAGCTGAAGGGAGGTTCTTTTCTGTGCCTATCTGTAAAGATAAATGGCCATTCCGTCTCAAATTAACTTAATTGTAAGCTCAAACAGCTTTTGGAAGTGTCTTAAAATTCAGTGTAGTGCTTGTTCTTATAGATGTCTGTGTTTTTTTGTTGTTTTTTTTTTAAGAACAAAGACACTTTGTTGTGCCTTGGTAGTAATGTGAAATAGAAGTCGGGACCTGTCTATTTTTTCTTATGGGTAAGGTGCAGGAAAAACTAGAAGAGTGAAGTGCTTCTGACACACACACACCCCACCCCCCAAAAAAAGAAATCAAAACCAACTGCAAGTATGCAGATCAGTACAGCACTAGATTGGCAGAGTTCATCCCCCAGGGGAGGTGGGGGAGGACAATCTGTGTTCTCTATACTGCCCCAAAACTTCGTGCTCTTTAAAAAGAGGCAGGAGACAACTGAGTGTAATGCTTCTCTTCCACTCTCCAGAGCTGTCAAGCCCAAGGGTGTTGCAGACTGAGCCATTTCTGACTGCTTTTATTTCATCTTTGCCAAATCCTTGCTGACACAGAGACTTGTTAGAGTAGGCAGACTTGTCTAGTTCAACCAGCAAAATCATGCAGGGAGGACGCAGTTAAATTGGTAGCACACAGTGGAACCAGAAGTGCAAGTCCTCTTTAACATAAACATGGATCACTGAAACCAGGGCAATAGCCATGCCCTTGCTGGCCCCAGTTGCAGTGGGTTGTAAATATTCTCCAACTTAGGATGCAGAAAACCCTGCACAAATACTGCTCTAAAACAGGAGAAATGTGGCATTATTTCAGTTTGGAGTGGACACAGCTCCTATTTCAAACTGAAAATGTCTTAATTAAAAATTAAATTAACAAGTTAGAAAACTATTAAATACTTAATGTGACAGCTCAATGGTTTTTACTTGTGTGGAAAATGTCTTGCAGTGTAATGTTGAGTGGGCTGAATTTCTGCCAATTACACAGGATTTGCTTTTAAATTATTTGAGTAGTGAAAATTCTGAGGGAATTATAGAATTAAGATCACTTTCTAGATCAAAGCTGAGATGCGTCTCTCTTGGGTGGCTGGTTGTGAAAGAAACCTTTGTTTACATTGGAGTGCTGGTTATTTCCTGGCTTACACTAGGTTTGTCTACAAGATAATCAGTTGAGTGGCACTGATCTGAGGTATTAA